TGAAAAATTGAAATGATTGTCTTGTTCTTTTTGCGTTTTTGTTTTGTTTTGGTTTGTTTTTTTATTAATAAGGGAATTCAAGGAAGACAAGAACAAAGTCTTATTAGCTGCAGAACAGTCAGATTCGCAGAGAACACAGGCTAGAACTTGCTGGTAGCAGTTCTGCAGAAAAGGACCTGGGATCATTAACATAATAGTGTTGTGAAAAATGGGCATTGATTAGAATGTGTAAGCAGAACTCTTGGTTATATAAAATACAAGATATGTCAAGTAACTTTTTCTGCTCAGCAGTGGCTGGCCCTCAGTTGTTACCTTTATAAAACCATTCACAAGTAAGTACTATGTGTTGTGTGTTACATACTTGTACACAGATTAGATTTGGTGTGCTGGGTTGTATGACAGAACAGTGTGAAAGTGTGGTGACACCCTACTGCATATGTGCATTTTCACTTTCTGCACAGATGAAGTCCAGTCTTCTGTTTTGACCGTTCTCTATCTGTTGGTTGTTCATAAAACAACTTGTCTTTCTAATATTGCTTTTTCAATTTTTCCACATTGTAAAAGTGTGTTTGGTTTGAAAAGTCATTGTCCATGTTTTCTGCCTTCTGTGGTGTTTTATCTACTTTATCTGTCCTTGTTTATGCAATTATTGTGATGTAGTCTAAGAATCATTTCACCTGAGCATTTAATTCATATTTTATATCTTAAGATCTAAGTGATTAACATTCCAGAAAAATACAATAAATAATAATATTCAGAAAAACTATAACAATTTCTTTATGTTGTGTGGTGCTTTTTTGCATGATACAAGTGTATTCACAGTTGGAAAGAATATCCTGCATTTCTGACTTAGTGTTTGTACTGGGTTTGCATGGCCAGGTTTTGCTACCAGGGGAGCTACAGGAGTGGCTTCTGTGAGAATTTGGCAGAAGTTTCACTTATGTACGGAGGAGCCAATGCCAGTCGGCTCCAAGAGGGACCTGTTGCTGACAAGACTGAGCCCATCAGTGTAGGTGGTAGCACCTCTGGGATAACAGATTTAAGCAGGGGGAAAAGCTGCTGCACAACAGAAACAGCAGCCAGAGAAGAAAGGAGTGAGAATATGTGAGAGAAACAACTCTGCATACACCAAGGTCAGTGGAGAAGGAGGAGGAGGAGGTGCTCCAGGCACCAGAGCTGAGATTTCCCTGCAGCCCATGGTGCACACCATGGTGAGGCAGCTGTGCCCCTGCAGCCCATGGAGGTCCATGGTGGAACGGAGATGCACCTGCAGCTCATGAAGGACCCCACACTGGAGCAGGTGGATGCCCAAAGGAGGCTGTAGCACTGTGGAAAGCCCATGCTGGAGCAGGCTCCTGACAGGACCTGTGTCCCCATGGAGAGAGAAGCCCACACTAGAGCAGGTTTGCTGGTAGGTCTTGAGACCCTGTGGGAGGCCCATGCACAAGCCTGTTCCTGAAGGATGGCACCCTGTGGAAGGGGTCCACTCTGGAGCAGTTCATGAAGAACTGCATCCTGTGGGAAGGACTCATGTTGAAGAAGTTCGTGAAGGACTGTCTCCTGTAAAAGGGACCCCACTCTGGAGCAGGGGAAGAATATGAGGAGCCTTCCCCTGAGGAGGTTGGAGTGTCAGAGAACCTGTGATGAACTGACCGTAACTCCCATTCACCACTCCACTGGGAATATTTGACAGCAATATTTTCACTTCAAAATGTGAGGCAGTTTTGTTTTGTTGTTTTAATATGAGTTTATTTTGGTTGGGTCATTTTTAGTGTGGGAGGAAAATTCGCAGCTTGTACATAATTGGAAAGTTAATACCAACCGACCCTGAGATTAGCTCAGTTGGTTAGTGCATGCTACTTATAATAACAAGGTTGTTGGTTCAGTCCCCATATGGACCATTTACTTAAGAGTTAGACTCGATGATCCATGTGGGCCCCTTCCAACTCAGAATATTCTGAGATCTGTGAACTGTTTAACGAAACCTGTGTAGCTGCCTATGTACAAAGCGCTTTCAAAAGCAGAATTGAAGTAAAATGCAATTCTGGTATATTTGCATCCCTTTTCATGTGTGCTGTAGTATTTCTGTTGCAGCTGAGTAGGTTAGACTAAGAGGCAAAACCATTGCAGCATCTTGTAAGGCACCATAAGCCCTGGAGTATAGCTGTACAAAAATGATAGCACTTTGACTTGCAGACTTGGGGTAGACATGTATGTGATTAAGACTTTAAGAAATATCATGCTGTGGTGATTTGACATGGAAGCTGGCAATGAAGACACAAAGCTGGCAGGCATGCCTGTGCAGTCCAGCTTTCTCCAAGAGGTGCAAATGTCCGTAACCACTGCCAGGCATCAAGGGAAGCTCCTCTGGAGACACTTGAGAGGTAGCAGTTTCCGAGATTTGCATTGGGTTAACCATCTGAAGTGAGGTGTAGAGGATTTTTGAATTGTATTCATAGTATAATAAATGAACTATCCCTTTTGTGTATGCCAGATTTTTCAAAAATATCCGCATAGAAGATTAAAAAATATTTTGATTATATAACTGCATTTCATCTCTGACCAGCTTAGTGAAATCTCTATCTCTCCCAGGTCCTACATTTTATTATGTAGCAACATATTTTATCGTGTACTCTGTGCTTGTGGCTGGAAGACCCCATAGTGTTTTTGCCTCACTGTTTATAAAACACTACACTACTGATTTTTCTTTTTTATCCTTAATAGTAAAGTATCCATCCTACAATTTCTCCCTTTAGGACATCAATACTATAGAATATAGTATTTTATTTTGTTATTAGTAAGTTCTGATTTCTTGAAGAATAAACTTTCAAAATACTGGAAGCTGAAAGGATAATTCACAACTGGCAGGGCCCAAGACTAGGTGTTCAGTAGTATCTCATACAGAACTATTTGAGTGATGCCTTTCTCATACTCATGTTTATAAGCTAAAATGCTGCAAATACTGTGAGTTTCTTAAACTTCAGTTATTGTGATGATATTTCTTATTATGTTGGTTTCATTTTAAATATGTTTAAAATGTATGGTCTGATTTTTGCCATCGCTAGTTTTGGTGTTTACAATTAAGAAACTTTTTCAATCTATTCTAATCTATATTAATGTATTTTAAAATCAGAATTAAACACACAGTATACCAAAAAATTCTGTAGTTATACACCTTCTCAGTCTTTAACTTAGGCCTTTCTAACAATATTGCTGTATTACATTGCATTTGCTGTGAAGTAACAGTAGGTTTTTTACAGTAAGAATTTAGTCCATATTTTTTGAACCCATAAAGTATTTGAATATATCTCAGCTAACTGCATATGTATTTTTAAAATCTGTGACTATTAATATTTTACTGAAGATACTTATGCAAAGAGCAAGTGATTGCACCTCAACTTCATTTTTTTTTTTTACTTTTGCTTTTTCAGAGAATTAAATCAGTTGTCTTTTTTTTCTCAGTAATAAAAATGGCATTGCAGTCTGAACCTCTTCTCCAAAGCACGGAGTCACAGTAATAGGATTTATTATTTTCATTATACGAGTGCAACTGTGCTAAAGGACTTTTACTCTGTAGTGTAATGAGTGATTTGGGATCTTTATGCAGAAATACTGTCCCTCTGAGTAAAGATACTTGGATACTTTTTAATGGAGGGGGTGGGGGAGAGGCAAAAATACTGATTGTAATCAAAATTTTGTCTATAGTCTTGCTCGCTTCAATAAATCCTTAGTTAAAAAGTTTTTTAGGTGTTGAACGGGATGTTTGCTTAAGAAGAGAGAATTAGCCCAGCAGAAGTGGCAAAGAGCTTAGTGGTAAGGGGGCTGCCTGTGATGGAGGAGAGCTGGGCTCCTTTCCTCCTCTGCCTCAGCCAGTGGGATCAGAGCTGCTGCTGGGAGAGGTCCCAGTTCCCCAGGGGCCACTAGTCAGCTGTCATGGGTTTCGTCTCTTTATCCACTCCGTGCAGATCATCTCTTGTGTATGAACCCTAAATAATACAGTCTGTGTCCATGCTACTGAATAAAATATATCATCCTGCTCCTTATGCCAAGAGAAGCCCAAGACTTTTGCCTGGATGAGTGAGAATGACTGGTTCCTTGTTTATTTGAGTGGATTGTCTGGGATGCCTGCTCACCTCTGAACTACTCCTGTATGGTTTTTGCAGCAGGAATTTTTCCCCAGTGGCAAAAATTTTGCCAAGGGGCATACTCTCAGTGAGTAGTATGAAGGAGCACTGCCCTGACCCTGAGTTGTTTATGTGTGTAGACATAACCTGAGAACAGGTATTGGCAATAAGGATACTAATTTGAGAAGATGAAAAGACACAATTAGTACCTGGCATATTGCGGGTAAATGCTTTAGGCATTGGGTTGAAGGCTAGTTTAGGAAGTCCTGACACCTGTGCTAGTAATTTATACACGGATTAAAGTACTCCACCTGTTGACTGAATAAGCAGTTATTTTTGTTGGAACTTGCATCTTTGGTGTTTTTTTTTCATTTCTTTGCATTTTCTTATATTTTTTTCTCTCTTCTAGTTTGATAAAAGGCAGAAAAAAGTGATTTTCTCTTGTGGCCTTATTTGATATTTTATATGCACTTTACTGGAAAAACAGTGCAAAAGATTGCTATGGAATTTTGTTGCAATGACAACAAACTTCTCTTTTGACGAAATTGGCAGGGGTAATCTCATCTGCAGAATGATTATATGGGATTTTATTCTAGAATAATCATTCTTCCTGCTGTATTTCAGGCAGGGTCACCCCATTGTTAAGCAACAGAACCTAGAGCCAGGCTGTATGGGTTCTTCTCCAGTGATGTTCTTTGGCTCTGAGCTCTGTTTCTCTGTGCATCCATTTGGAATTAATGTTTGCAGAGGCATGACTTTCGTGGACAGTTTTGTGACCCAGATCCAGGAGCAAAAAAGAAGTGTTGCTAGTATCACTACAGTCATTTGACATTCAAAATGCAAAGTGCCCTGCTGATAATAATTTGTTTATTTCAGTGACAGGCAATGGCACAAGTTAAGATGCAGACTACAGCAAACCTGTCTGGACCCACCATGTCCCCTATGGTGCTACCCCTGCCAGTTACAACTACAAATACACTGAGTCTGCCACCCTCAATGAATGGATCCATTTCGGAATCAGCTGCCAGCTGTAGCAGTCCTACTGCCAGCCTTGTGGATCCCGCACCTTCTAACAACTCACCAGGTAAGTTGGTCCAGGTATATTTTCTTCAGTGGTCAAATGAATTTTTGATGACTTTTTAATTTAAAAAGATAAATAATTAGGTCCTTAAGGGGATTAAAATTAAAAAAAAACCAAACACCCATAGAAAAATATTTTGGCTAAATAAACTGTTAGTTTTTTTAACTGAGCTCAGACTTACAGTGAAGTGTTGATCAATGATACAAAATCTCAGAAAAGAGCATGTCTATTTTGTCAAATTCTGAGTGTATTCCTTATAGAGAAGTTTTAGTGGTGCAGGAAGGTCTCCAAGTTTATTTCTCTTCCCCAGAACAGAATGTCTTCTGACTGCTTGGCAGTATTTGGTGTTTCCTTTGTAGCCTAATAAATGCTGCAGTTCCTATGCTGAACTGGGTATAAAATGCAGAAATGTTGTTCTAAAAATCTAAACAAGAAATGACTGTGTGTGTTAGGGATAAATACAAACCAATTGAAAAAAAAATTGCAGAAAGTTAAATGGTCTAAAAAAAGGAGAACGAAATCCTTAAAGGGAGAGGAGAAGTGTTCTTTGGGAGTGCTCTGAGACTGACTTCATTTTTGTGAGAAAAGTCTAAAACCCTGGGAAGAAGCAGGCAGAAGCAAGTGGGGGCCACAGAGTTTCATCAACTATATTTGTCTCATAATTCTTACACTATCCACTACTGCTTCAAAGTGTTGAGAAACCATTCTGGAAGAGTAGTTAATTCCAAGAACCAGTATACTGCTGACAGTAAACTTTGGTGATGTAGAAGATGTAGAATATGTATCCACTGTCATCTGTCATAGGGACATTTTGGAAATAAATAGTTGTTGGGGTTTTTTAATTGCATGTATTCAAAATTTTTATTGTAAAATCATAATCATATTCTCATATGATTAATATATAAATGGTATTTAAACATTATATTTAGCATATGTACAAAAATTGTATTTTAGCCAAAGTATTTTCTTTTCTAAGCATGCTGCTTTTGCAAAGCTTTGCGAAGTTGTGAAGAATACATTTCTCCACAAAAACTTTACAGACTCTTTATTTACAGCTCCTCTCCAAGATAACATGGCAAACCCCAAAGAGAAAACTCCAATGTGTCTGGTAAATGAGTTAGCCCGTTTCAATAGAATTCAACCCCAGTATAAGCTTCTGAATGAAAGAGGGCCTGCTCATGCCAAGGTAAGGTCACAGTTCCAGGTGATGAGCCATACCTTAAATGCTGAACAGATAATGTCATGGTTTGGACAAGTGTGCTTGTCACACCCGGCTACACTTCTAGTGTAAGGAGTTTCTTATGGTTCTTTTTGTTTTGGTTTGGGTTTTTTTACACTTTCAGGAAGTATGCCTGTATTTCTGTTTAAGTCCTGTAGATCATTTTGTACCTTACTTTGACTTCCATCTTTGAGTTTCTATTTGTTGGTGTTTATAAAGACCTTGTGAAAGTCTTTTCGGGGTATCACCGCCCTTTCTTAATCTTTATGGAGCATTTACTTTTTAGGCTGGATGAATCTTGCTCCCCAGTCAGCATGCCTTTGGTAACTAGCTACTAGAAACAAACTACCACTTGTTTCATGGTAGTGCAGATGATGACAAAGGTAGTTTGTGACATGCTTATTGACACAGTTCTGTGTCTATAAAGTTGTTACTCAATCTTTGGATCTTGCGTTATATAGCACAAACTTTATTATTATGCAACTTTAAGACATATGGTGATGTTAAGACTCCTAATATGGTTATAGTATTAAAGTTTCCGGTGAACTGACAGCAAATTCTGGTCAGTTCTCATATCAATTTGAATATCCAACTTAATAAGTACAAATTAGGTTGCTTTCAGGTGATGAGGAACACAGAGGAATATTCTCATGACATAAAATTTCCTAATATAATTTTGAATTTCCTCCCTGGGTAGGAGCAAACTGGGGGAAGAGAAAAATCCTGAAAAACTCCAAGAAAGACGCTGGCATAATTAGTAGCTGCTATTTACCTAGTATTTCTAGAGTGGCAAAAGACAGTGGGGTCACGCTGCAGATTAGTAACAGTTTCAGCTCATCATGGGCTAGCTCTCTGCCATTGCCCCTTGTTTCTGAGTTGCATATTGTGTTGTCAGTGAGTGCAGAGTTGATGCAAATCACTGACCTGGTCTGGCTGGCATTCCCGAATCTGTTATGCTGGGGGAAATGATGTCAGCAGGTGTGAGGCCACTGAGAATCAGAAAACTTTTAGGATCCTGCGTTTTAAATGGAAATTTAAGTGCTCTTTCTCTTCCTGGAGACGTTTGGCACCACAGGGTACTTTGGTTTGTTGGTTTTAGGTTGTGGCACGTTAAATCTGTTGGGCTTTGTGTAATTTTTTACTATTGTGTTGTATATTTATTTTTTGTGAAATAAGAAGTGCTTTGGTTGTACCAAAAGGTGTGGGTTTGGCTGTTTACATTTCTCAGCAGTAAAGAAATTTAAGTTATATTACATTCATGTTATACTTAAAATTTTATGAGGACAAGAAATAGTTCACATGTGAGGCGGGAGGCCTCTTCTCCCAGGCAGCTGGTGACAGGACAGGAGGACATAGCTTCAAGCTGTGCCAGGGGAGGTTCAAGTTGGACATAATGAAGAATTTTTTTCACTGAGAGAGTGGTTAAGCATTGGAATGGGCTGCCCAGGGAAGTGGTGGATTCACCATCCCCAGAAGTTTTCAAGAAACAACTGGACACAGCACTTAGTGCTATGGTTTAGTTGGTATGATAATGTTCAGTCAAAGAGTGGACTTGATGGTCTAAGAGGTCTTTTCCAACTTTAATGATTTTATATTTGTTACTACTTTTAGAGGAACTAATATAATTTAAATTACTTGAGTCTGCATTAGCTGCATTTTTGAAAGCCAGATTTTCAAAGGATTTCTTAATTTTTCAGTTTACCACATTATTTTTAGTTGCACTCATAGTGGTCAAAAAAATGCAGATATGTGCTCTGTAGACTCAGAAGAATATTGTCTGATTTTGGTCTCTGCAGCAAGAGACAAAAGAGCAAAGGTGATGATAAGATTATGCAGACTTTGACCTATGAAAAGCAGAAAATTTAATATGACTATTAGCAGCTTAATATAATGTCTTGCTAGTATATGATGATATACCTGACTGAATATGTGAAACAGAGCTGAATTGGTCCTGGAAAGCATGACCTGGAGGATGTAATGCTGCTGCTGCTCTTTGCCATTTAAGGAGCTTCTCACATTGTTTTCCTCCTACACAAACTCTGTTCCTGTCCACTAGTGGTTTTCACAGTTTTCTGAGACACGCTCTACAAGACAGCTGTCTGTGTTGTGACCACAAATGCTAGTAAATTTTTATATCCTTTTTTCTAGTTGTCTCTGGAAAGTAAGTTTTGACAATTGGTGTGAAATGGGAAACTAGAAACAGTGGAGTTGGGAGAGAAGTGGCATGTAGTGACAGTGCAATTAGGGTTTCTAGGAGTCTGCCCTCCAGGTGGATTCTTCATCATAAGAAAAATCAGAAAGTCTTTTTTAGCATAAATGTTTTTGAATATGTTAGTCAGATTACTCATGTCTTCTGTCCTTCTATGTCAGTGTTATTTCAGGACACAAATCTAAAAGAAACAGTGGCAAAAGAAAGTGGATGGTGGTGCAGAGAAGAGGGAAAGGGGTAAGGGATGTAGCGCTTCAAAAGGCTGGGAAAGAGGAGAGAGTTTTACATAGAAGAAGTGAGGAGGAAAGAATTGCCAGAGCTAAGAGAGACTGACCTTGCAAACACAGCAGAGTGAAAACAAGCACAACCATGGTGGCCTTTGCATTTCTGCTTTCTAGACATGAGATACATTAGGTTTGGTGTAAGGAGTAGAAAATTCCTCAGAAAACTGGTGAGAAATGTCTCTCAGTCAATAGCAGAAGTGTTAGCTCTGGTCTTGCAGGATTTGAGAGTTTTCATTGGCTGCTCCAGAGTTTGGGTTTAGGCAGTTTTATTCCTATAATTAAAGGATGAAACCTACAACTATATGTGGGTTTTTGCAGGAGTTTTTTTGACAGATGGTCTAAGTGAGAAGGTTAGAGTTGACTGCAGAAGTTTATTGAATAAGCCCTTTATTATCTCGAATTCCTGTTTTTTGCTCTAAGCGCTAAGAGGAGAGTTATTAATCATATTTTCATTTAAATTTGAGATTATTCTCCTCCTATAAAAATACGACACTGGTACTTTCCTGAAAAATATAAAATACGTAAACTCCAGATCCAGAAATCAAGTTTCAGTTCTTTTAGTAATAAGGATGTATGTTTGTAGGTAATTTATATAATTATGGGTATTTAGCTCTAATACCCAGTTTAGCTTTCAAGTGGGGGTAGATTTGGCAGATTGCAAAATTAAGAGACTATTTTTCTCTTTCTCCTTGTCTGTGAGGAAATTGTCATGACTGCTGTGGAAAAAAGGACAAGGCAGTAGGAACTGTGGTACAGGGACTGGCACTATTCTTCTGAAAATTACAGTAGCCAAACCTGTAATTAAGACACAAATATGTGTTTATAGCATTCAGTTTGAATGTGCATAGGGCTAAGGTGGAAGGCACATACATACTTGTGTTCAAATGCTTGTTTATAAGTACATGCTAAATGAAAATATATGCAATGACGCATGTAAAGGCTGCTCACCATGTCCATCTCTAAGTACCTGGTCCTGGATCTAGCAAGTTTAAATAATTAAAAAATCATAGAGCTGTCAAAATGAAAATTTTACTTTATATCCTGCTCATACTAATATGTAGCTTTTTTTATGTTGCCTCAAGTAAGTTGGTCTGTTTTCTGAGGTGGTTGTATCTTAGTTTACTGTGTTTATCTGACTATTAAGTTCTGTCTTATATCTAGGGAATTTATATGGCAAATATATTGAGTTCTTAGCCTTTCTCCTCTTGTTCTTAGATGTTCAAATTTAGACAAAACATGTATGTATAGTATAGAAGACAGATTCTATTTAATATCTTAAATATGCATTGAATTTTATCTGCACAATTTGCACAGCATAGGTACTATTTGAAATAATCCTCTATCCCAGATTTTGAAATACATGTTTTTTATCTGTTAGTCTATATCTGAACTCTTGATGTTTCCGGTTCCTGTCCTCACTATTGATTTTACATTAAGAACTGCAGTTCCATTAAAAAAGATAATATTTATTTTCTTTGTTACTCTTATTTTTTTGAATGTATTTGAGTTATGACTCTTGCCCTAACAATATGCATTATTTTTAGAAATCAGGTCGTGTGAGAAATTCTTTCACTGTATAACGCTATTTGGCCCAAATTTTCTGCTACCTTGAGGAGTGTGCAATCATTTATACCCATTCATAATTATTACAAAATTACTTTTTTTTTCCTCAGTGGCATGTATAGTACCTATTTTCTACAGGTAAAGTGACAAAACACCTTCAAATGTATGAAAAAATGTGCTCTAAGCTGACCTGTATATAGTCTTCCAAGAGCAGAGGATGAGTTATTATTATTTGGTTTAAATATTATTTTGTTCTTTGATAGCTGACATTAGCGTTATGCTATTTAACTTTGTAATTTGAAAGGCCAAATGTTGCCCACTGATAGGGTCTCACTGATCTTTGGAAGAATCAGATGCATTATCTGGGAGTTGAATCCAATGAAAAGAGAGCACGGTTTCTCTTGAGCCCTGGAAGTTTTTATACAGGTTGGTCTAATCCACATTGATAATCTTGCCAGTGTTTACCTGTTCTTTGTCTTTGAAGATGTTCACAGTGCAGCTGACTCTTGGAGAACAGACATGGGAAGCTGAAGGAAGCAGTATTAAAAAGGCCCAACATGCTGCTGCTAGCAAAGCACTGAATGAAACTACCCTTCCCAAACCAACGCCTAGACCACCCAAAAATAATGTAAACAATAATCCAGGTATGACAATTTCCTCTGTGTGTTAAATCTTGTTAAAGTATTGGGATATTATACCACTAATAAGTAATTTTAACAATGTATTTAAATTTGGAGGATGAGAATCAACATTGCCATCTTAGAGGTATGATAGGATTATGCAGAATTTCTAGTGAGTTTTCATAGGAGAATTTTTAATGTGCATGCCTAAAATAGTTGAACTGTAGGGAGTATATTATTTAGATAATGCTCAGATGTATACGAAGCGATTGTGTATGATCAACAGTAAACAGAAAACGAGACTGAATTGTCTGTTATCACCATAGTAAAACATATTTCCCAAGGAGTTATTTTAGCTAATTTTCCAATGAAATTGGAAATTTTATCCAGTCCAATCCTGTAAAGTTGCATCTGTGGTGTAAACAAAAGGCTGGGATTTGGCATGAGAACGTTGACAGGTATTTTCCTGCATTGTGAGTTTTCCTTCATAGCAACCTGTTCTTTCAAAAAGCTCACAGATGGCATTAGAAACTGTTTCAATAATAGAAAGAATATATACTGGTTGAGTTGTTACCTGTGAGTTGCCTTCAATGCATATAAAACCTTTCTAGGTACACATCTCATCTACATACTCAGTATCTGTTCTGTCTTGTTTGATAAAATAAATCAAAAATATTAATAACTTTTATTTCAGACTAATAGAAAGCAAATGGTGAGGGGAAAAACGTCATATTTCCTTTTTTGTTTGTTTGTTTTTTACACTCCTTTCCCCTCTGCTTTTTCCTCTACTCCCTTCTTCCCTTTTTATTTCCCTTTGCCCTTCCCCCCATTTTAAAAACAGTTTTCTTCAATCGCTTTCTTAAAGTTGAGTAATTTTGCAGTTAATCTTCTCCATGATGGAAAAAAAAGTAGGAGTAAGTTTCCTTTAGAACTTGTGAGTATTATCCTGAGTATTAGCTATGAAGGATTGTTTTAGAGTGATGTGGTAGTATTCTCTTGCTCCTTTGGAGATTAGTACACTGTTTCTTCAGGCCCAAGACAGTGGTTTTGCCCTGTGTCCTTCACAATCACTGTGACTTCAGCTGTTTAGAAAGCAGGAGGCTCAGACCTCTATGAAAAGGGATCCTGAGTTTGATTCTTGACATTGCAGAGTATTATTCATCTTCTTTTAGCTTTGAGCATATTCTTAAAGGGAAAATCTGATAAGAAGAGAAATAGGCTTTAAGAGAATTCATTAAAAAATTGTGTCATTTAGCACTGTAGTTTTGCTCCAAGAAAGGTACATTGTATATGCACAGCTATCTTCTCATCAGAATGACATTTTGCATTTTTATTATGCAGTTGAATTTATAGTAATTTCTTGCTTTGGAAAATATAAGAATTGTTGTTGATAGAAGTTTTTGAATAAGTATTGCATAAACATTTTCATCATTTGGCATATAAAGCCTCAATGGCAGACTGGAAAATTAGTCATAACTGTTTTAAGGGTAGATTTATTTGAATCCCTTATGAAAATATTTTCAGAAATATTAACTCCTTTTTGTTGGAATGCACGTTTAGCTCATTTAGGATTTTTTTACAACAGTGCAAGTGGGGATTACTGTAGCTGAACTTTGTATTAAAAAAAAAAAAAAGAAAAAAGTAGTAGAAGTAGAGTGTAGCTTTTTATTTGATATTTTTGAAACGATGCAGTGGGCGAGTACTGGCTGCCTTCTATTTTTGTATTCTGTCACCAGTAGATGGCTGTAGTTGCACTGATTTCCAGTAGCTGTGTTTCAGTCTGTTAGATCATTCCTATTAGATTTTTAGTTTTTAGGTGTAGTTTTAAGTTTTCAAGTCTTGCAAATAACACGTTTTTTCTAACTTGTAAGATTCCTGAATGACTGCATTTTACATTGTGCTTGTTTCAATGACTCTTTGCCCTATTTGTGGTTTTATTTAATGATATTCAGCAGAAAGAGACATTATCCTTTTATTTTTATAATTCTTTCAGAAAGTGTCATAATGTATTATAAGTACTTTGGAAAAGTGAATAATCAGCTTGGTTGTTACACTGACTTTCTCATTCATATGTAAAGATTAATCCACCTGAACTGCATAGAGAATGCACTGAGTTGTATAATTGTTCTTTTTTGTTGCTTGTGATTGAATTGGGATCTATATTCCCATCTTTTAGGGAAATTGAAATGTCTTTTTTGTTACTTCTTTTTAATTAAGAGTAAAAAAATATAATGTAGCTATCGCTTTGCAGATTATCTCAGTCCTGCTCTTGAGTTTTTCAATATTTCTGGTTTAAGTGCCTTACTTAAATTGTTTGGTTTTTGCAGGCAGTATAACTCCAACTGTGGAGCTGAATGGTCTGGCGATGAAAAGAGGAGAGCCTGCCATCTACAGGCCATTGGATCCAAAGCCAATTCCCAATTACAGAGCAAATTATAATTTCCGGGGCATGTACAATCAGAGGTTTGTACTTTTTCTATTATTTGATTTTTTTTTTTAATCTGTATCATAATGTTCTAAATATTCATGAACTTTTAGGTTATTTCAGAGTGAAAATAAATTAAGATTTTGCTGAGGAGGGTCTCTGCAGTCTTATTTAGAAACATACATAATCATCTCCTAAAAGAAGATGGGTGCCCTAAGTTTGTCACAAGGAATAAAGACATGTAAAGCCCAGTGCTTTTATTTGTTTAATGTGCATACCGGAGTTATGTTCTACAGCCATGACAGTGAGAAGACAGAGCACTTTGCTTTCCTTTGCAGCGGTGTCACGTGATTAGAATTTGTATCATTGAAAATGAAGCACTCTTTTCTTACAAATTGGATATAAAATTGGAAGAGCTGCATTTTGAAAATTGGCTTGAAACTGTTCTCAGGTTTCTGGGTTTTTTGACTGCTCTTCTTGATCTCATTTCCTTCGTCCTCACTGTTTGATTAGGAAAAATCCTGTATTTCGCAGTTTAGAAACGCATAATCAGAGCTATGTTTAATTTGCATCTGAAGAACTTCTTTCTCTGAGATAGGTTTTTTTGCCATTTTTCTTTACTTATCCACAGAAGAACTGTATTGGATGAGGTGTTTTGGAGCTCCAAAAGTGAGACCAAGTATGATCTGTAAAATAAGAGAAAGCGAAACAATACAAATCAGAACGTTCTAATCACATTTAATCTGTGAAGAATGGTGCCTTTCTTATAAAACTTTGCTTAATGAATTTCCTGTTCATTTTTATGCATCTCATAATTATCAAAAAGAATGAGATTGTAAACTCTGATTTGGTTTGGTTCAAAATTACTCTTTTATTAGAAATTGAATCTACAGCAATCTTTAAAAATTAAGGAGTTTAAAATGAAAAAGCAGCATTTCAGATTTGGCTAAGGAAAATATTTCAGTTGACTTAATTCTATTTTGCTTTTCCCCAGATTTTTAAATCATGACAACTTGATTAGTGTAGGGTTTTAACATTTCATTCTGGGTTGTTTTGTTTGTTGTTGTTTTTTTTCTTTTTTCTTTTGTTTTTTTTTGGTTGTTGGTGGGTTTTTTTGTTTAGTTAGTTGGTTGTGGTTTTTTTTTATAGCAGCAATACCTAGAACTGTATTATTCTGGAATATATAATAACCAGGAAGAATAATATAACCTGGAAGAAAGCCCTTTCATTACTCTACAGAACACTGCTTGATAATTGTATCACTTGTGTTATATTTCTAGTCACTGCTGGCTTGAGTCTCTGCTTACATATGTCATGGTTTAAAAAACTAATTATGGTTCTTGAAATGAGTTTTGTTAATATTTAGAAATCATTTATTTGAATTGCTTTTATAGTGAGATTAGTTTGACTAACAGATATAAATGCTAGACTGGAAAAAATGCAAGCTAGTTAAAGGCATAAAACGGTGAATTCTGGAATTTGAACCTAGTTATGGAAAGATATTTGTGGAAGTAGAGCCTCAAAACACTCAGTAGTTACTAACTCTTAATATTTTATTTCTTTTCATAGAAAATTACTAGTACGTCTATTTCAATCTATAAGTTTGCTTCTTTGGAAACTTTGTTTCATGAGAGGTGTGTTTCCGTGTTAGAGTAAAATGATACATGAACTTTATTTTTCTGGTTGCAATAGGTAGCCAAGGGCCTTAGATTTTTCTGATCACAAAAAAAAACCAGGCTCGGTAGGACAGAAGGCCAGAAACTGCTTGCCTGCCTGCTTCATTGTGCTTATTTGAGTGCAGTTGCCCATGCAGGATGGCTAATAATACTGTCTAGTAAATTGATACATAACAAAAACTAAGTAGTAAATAATGGGATATACCTGTCTGTCTGCATAAACACATGCCCCCCGTGCATACACCAGCTCACACACAAGTACCAGAGTAAAGAGGAAACAGAATGATGCCCTATAGTGATGTTTGGGAACTCCTGTGCTGGAAATAATTGTTCTGCGTCTTGTTTTGGATTGGGAGGTTCTTGGCCATTATGATCACAGTAAGAAAGGCAGTTAAATACTGTAAGGCATCCTTTAAAATGACATTTATTAGAGCTGCCAGTATAAGAAGGGAATAGTGCAGATACTCTTCCAGCCCTTCAGATGCTGAGAGCCCTGAGTGGTGTGGATCAAACAGGACTGTGTCCCACGTGCAGCATGCCATGCAGACCTCAGCCACAGCAGAGATTCTTCCCTTCCTGGTCATTTGGACTCTTAAAGGATTTTCTTACAAGGAGACAACCCTGTCAGGAATAGTCAGGAACGATGGTCACATGAGAACTTCCCACTGTGCTGTTAGATAAAGGCAAGACCATGCAGATGGTACTGAGGGGGAGCTGCCCAGGGGCCCATGTCTTGCCACAAGTCTGTCCTGTGGCTGAGGGGTTTGTGCAGCACAGCCCCGTCCTGTCCCATGAGCCATGCTGGGCATGGGCCCTGCCAACTCAGCACAGCCCATGCGGCTCAGCGTGGGTCACTGTCTCCTCCATGGGCAGGATCCTGCACCTCTTCCAGTCAGGATCACTGTGCACCTACTCACCCTCACCAGAGGGAAGTCTGGAGGCAGATTCTGGATCTGTGACAAGAGTGAGTGAAGTTCCAAATAGGAAGCACATGCTGTAGCACTGTATTATGTTCATGTGGTATAACATGCTATATTTATTTTCCTCTATTGCCATGTTGTATTTAGCATTAGTTTGCAGATTTTTGGAAGTTGGGTAGTAGAATAGAAGTCTTGTTGGAATCCCCAAGTAAATGCAGACTATGTAGACTGTTGAAAACAAGATTTGAAAATTAATGTAGGTAATATGCTGTACGAAGTATTTTTCATTTTTGTCAGTTTCTGACTGTAGATTATTTTCTGTTATTAAAACAGATACAAAATATGTTAAGTAAGTGAGAAGCTTAGTCTGTTATAATTTGTCTGAATTCCTTTAACTGATATCTGTTTAAAAAAAATGTGCTTTTGAAATAGGTGAAGATACACATTAAGATTAGGAGATTACATTAGGGAAACTTCTGTTCTGGCAAGACGAGTGGCTTGAGGGAAAAATAAAAAGTATTAAGTTCATTCCAGGGCCTATCTTTAGACCAGTTAAATCTAGTGTTTCAAGTGGCACAAAAGATCCTTTTCAGTATCTCATGGAAATGTGATCTGAGAACTGCTATTTGTATGCAAAATTGACGGCTAGATTCCATGTCAGGCTAAGATGATTTATGTTGAAGTGGCGGTGATTCCTCCTCCTTCATTTGTCCGTAGCCTTTGTGTCCTTGCATATTTCCTGGGTCCAGCACTGGAAGGTGAGCTGCTTGGAAATGAATCACTTTTTTGGGGGGAGAGGAAAGGAAAAGTTACTCCTAGACTGACAACTGTACTTAGATACCTTCTCACCTAGTCGCACAAGAGCTTGTGCCCTCACCAGAGAGGGGGCATATCTGTTTGGAGGTTAAGGGCAGCTTAGGTTGATCTAAGCATGTGAAGGACTACACTCTCACATGCAGTGGAGCATATTTATATGGACAGTGTGTACAGAGGATGTTAAAGCAGGTTTACGTACAAACATGCAAAGATCCATTTGCAAGATCTGCAGCTGATGGCATAAATTTATACTGAAGGTGAAAATTACATTCACAGAAGAAAGGAAACCAAACAAGTAAGAGGGGAAAAAAGGAAAAGGGGGAAAGTTTTGCCAGTGACCATCTTGGAAAGCAAGTGGTGAAATGTCCCAAATGAGCATCCTTCTCTAGGTGTTCTTTGCAATGCAGCAAGTATTCCCCCTAACACTTTCCCATAGTAGTTCTGTGGTTTTCATCAGGACATGCTCAAACTACCTGTTGCTTACAGTGCTGATAGTGCTGCATGAGAGCAGGTGTTGAATGCTAGCCGCTTATAGAGCTTTGTGCATGTGTGTTATTGGGCACTGTAATGTACATCAAAAGCTACTGCTAAGGGATAGGAAGAGGGCAGAGAAGGGCTGCAGTACAGTATAGATACAATGCTGTTGACGTATTGGTGTTTGCAGTAAAAGGGGCTTGAGAATAACAGCATAGGGAGAACTGAACTGCAAGGGAAAGGTGCAGCTACGGAAATTCTGGAAAACAGTGCCCAGGCAGCTTAGGTGAAGTGTTACAGGACTACGAGTGGAAGGCAGGCTACAGAATTGCAAATACAAAACTCAGCAAGGCAGAAAGACACTTCAGACAGTGTGTTACACCAGGGTAAGGTGTTAGCCTTGTGAGTCTCTTTGTGTGCTCAGTTAGGAAGTGCAGGGCGAGTCAGCTCCCTTCTTGGGGGTGGCTAAGTAGATAAAATACAGTCCATCTAGGAACTGGAGGAGGTGTGGATATTTTAACCTGACTCTTCACTCGAGCTACTGAATGCAGTACTTGCTAGCTTGTTAACAGCATTGGGTCATTGCCATTACACTGCATCTTGTCGCAGGCTGATAAAGTCTGTGTGCTGCTGAGCTGAATCATGTGAACTTACCAGCTTAGGTCCCTCGTAGTTTTGGTATCTGTATGCTGCAGTTCATTTCACTGTGTAGATAAGAACTTCAAATTTTTATCATCTCACTCTGATGAGACACCTTGGGAGTCCTCTCTGGATTTTCTTTATTGAAGTAAAATCCATGCAACCTTGGTAAGAGGAAGTTTGATGGCCTCTGGTAAGGCAGAAATTTAAAAAAAGCTGTCAACCCTGAATCCAGCCATATTAGACAACTTCTTATTTAACAAAGGTTTCTATATTCCTAGAGGAGATTATAATAGAGGAAAACACTGCTTAGGTTCTCAAAATTTACCAGTTACATACTACTGATTTAAAGCCTCACAGGTTGGAGTTTCAAGCAGTTTTGCAACAGAGGTACAAAGGAACCTTTCAGTTCAAACACTGTATGTTACAGGAAAGCTAAAAATGGTGAATGTTGCATTTTGCATGGCTTCTTTTATCTAAGAGCTTTACAGGCTGACTCTGGGGAGGGAGGTG